ATGATTTTTGTACTTAGAAATTTATTTTAAAAATTGTGCTTTACAAAGTGCATAACTTAGGAATATTTATGCAGTATGCCAAAGGATTTGTCAAAGACTTAAATTAGGGTGTTTGCTATAATTGAAAATGAATTGATTTTTACAGAATTCAGTTTATATGTAATTTTCCCCCTGTTTATTGAAAATGTACATATAGAAAAATGTACAGATCTTAAGAGTACAGCTTGATGAGTTTTCACAAAGGTGAAGAAATAAAATATTACAGACTCTTCTTAGAAGCTATTCTCTTAACTCTTTCCAGTCACTGTCACCCCCTCCCTGATTTTTGATACCATAAATTAATTTTAGAACTTTATATGAATGGAGTTACACAGTATGTATTTTTGTAGGTTTGCCTTCTTTCATCCAACATTATGTTGAAATTATGAAGGTTCTCCCATGTTATTGCATAGTAGTTGTTCATTCTCACCTTTCTATACAGTCTTACATTATGTGAATATCTCACAACTTATTCATTCTACTATTGATGGATATTTGAGTTGTTTCAGTTTGGGGCCAGTGAAAGGAATGACCATTCTTTTGTGTATCCTTTGGTGAACATATATTAGTTTGGTGTATTCCTATAAGTGGAAATGTTTAGTCATAAGGTGTGTATGTATTCAGCTTTGATATACAGTAGGTCCTTGGGTTACATCGGTGATCCGTTCCTACGGCACGACATAACGCGCCTACATAAGCACCTACGTCACTCACATGGAGCACATACACAGCAGTAATGAAGTGAAACAGTAAAAAAAAATTAAAAGATAACAATTCCTGACCTTTACTTGTGGTAAATAAATAATAAAAAACATAAAGCACATATGTACATACGTCGAAATGACAGAACTTTTTTTTTATAAATAAATGGGAGATGGCGACATAACCACGAAACGACGTACGTCGAGTCCGATGTAACCCGAGGACTGCCTGTATAAGGTTTAAGCAAAATTTTATTGTTTTTGTTATGCATCCTTTTAGGCACTTGGTTTTTTGTGGTCTTAGTTATTGTAGTGATGTGGTTTTGTCATTGTTAAAGATAGCAATAAATTTCTTATGGTGCATTTTTTTCTAAAAGTCTGCAATATTAAAAAATATTCTATATCCCCACTATATGAGAATGTATTTATAATTGTATACTTGTATTATTGTACTAATGTTTTATAAATACAAGATAAAGTTTAAGAAGAATAAATATAAATAGCAGTTTTACTATTCCACTAATTCTTTTTCACCTCCTTCAGGTAGATACTTTGCAGACCCTTTCTCTAAAGTTTTCTGTTTTTCTTGCCCTTTGAGTGTGTGTGTGCGTGTGTGCATGTGTGTGTATGTATGTATGTGTGTATATGTGTATACACACACATGAAGTATAAGCTTTAGGATACAGTTAGGAGATACTCATTTACTAGTAGCTTCATAGGATATGTTCTTTTCATTGTGTGGGGGGCAACATCCATTAGGCACTTCAGGATTAGAAAGTAAGTGAAAGAAATATATTGGCAAATTGGGAGTTGGCTCATTAATTCAACAAATATAGAAGTCTTTGCTTTTACAAGAAGTGAATATTAATTCTGAGAATGGGGGCTTTTATTTTCCTTTCATGGTGGCACTACTCTTACTATATTGTGCAGTTTCAGTTCTATGCTTCATTTTATTGACTGCCACCAAACTGCCCCCTAAAGAATTAAAAGTTCATATATTGAAGCTGTGTAGTAGTCAATGAAAAGTCACAGATCTGGTTGAGTTAATGACTCCCAGTTAAATAGGGAATGTATTAACATGTCTGTCTTATAGGGATGTTATTTGTGAAAAAGATTGCCTGTGATTCAGTGGTAAAATGATAGAAATGCCATTCTCTCTGTCCTTGGAAGTTAAGCATTCAGAGTAAGGATGTCTGAAAGAAAGACAGTTAATTAGTGTTTGCGCTCAGAGGGGCATTTTATTTGGAGAAGAAGAGTGGGTTAACCGATAGATTATTCAGTACATCTCAACCTTATAGGGAATTTTTCATAATTGAATATTTCAGTGGCACATTGAAGGGCTTGGTTGGACACACAGGCTCAGAAGAGCAAAGAGATTGTTTCTGAGTGTGGCAGTATGTGATAAGTTCAGTTACTCATTTGTTGCTAGCATTATTTAGATTATTTTCTCTGTATACATATAGTTAGGCGTCTTTCTCTCTGTCAAACCCTAAATCTTGTACTGTCCTCACAGCTGACTAAATAATGAAAATATCAATCTTTTCTCTCAGTTTCTTTTTTCATCATTATGGTGGTTTGTTTATTTTCAAGCTAATTCCGGGTGTTACTGGGAACCTGTCAATTTGTCCCATGTAGTATACATAATACTTAATAATACCAGTGCTTATTAAAAATAATAATAATATTTGCAGTAGCTAATGTTTCAGTTTTACATATGAGGAAACTGTTAATCAGCGAGGTTAGAATTTGTCCTCACAGCCTCAGACAGCTTTGAACATTTAAGATACTCAGTATTTGTTGACTTGAGATTACAGGAAAAGAACAACCATCAAAATAGGAGTAAACACTACTGATGCAGTTTTTTTTTTTAATTTGAAGAATATGGCAGTATGATAAAGATTTGTACATATGTAATCATTTTTGCTTCTTAGTATTTGGAAATCTTGTTTAATTTTGCTAGTGGTATAACTAGATATGGCACGTATTTCCTGGTTTGGTGAAAAAGTTCATATTCTTAGCTATAATTTTATATTTTTTAGATAGAGGATAAATGATAATTAAAATCTGAGAGAGGTGAGAACTTGCTGTTAAAATTTTGTTCACAGCAGGGGAGCAAATTATGTTCTTTTGGTGCTCCTTTGATAATAGGCTCAATATAATATTGGAATTCAACAGTTGGTTATCTTTGGGTATATTTTGTTTTTTTTGGCCATATATGGGATTGCCGAACTGTTTAGAATACATTTATGGTACACAGTCTACTTCTTTCTAAATAGATTGTTACCATTTATTACTTACTCTAGTATCACATTGTTTTCATTTTACTTTTTCTGAGTTTTCTCTTGGATAATGGTAATTAAACCAAAACTTACTAAGAGGGAGTGGGGAATTTTATTATTGATTACCCATTCAGATTTTGAATAATATTTGTTTTAAATCTCCTTAAAATGCCTTTTTCCTATTCTAACTTATTGACTTACTTTGACATTTCAATCAAACAAAAAACAACATAAAACTTTTTATAAATGCATATATGATAATAGATATTTAGTTGTAATATAATTTACTTATTGTGTATTGGACTCTTGAGTCTCTGTTAGACTAAAAGTTCAATGTTTTTATAGTTTCTTCCATCTGAATTGTACATATCTTTGCCTTTAATTTGGCTGAACTCTTGAAGAATCCTAAGATTCTTTTTTTACCTCCTTTGATGGAGAAGTCCTTGAATTAAGATAATCTCTTAAAAAGGAATGTCAGTCTTTTTTATCCTGTGTCACTTGGACCTTATGAAACTGCCAAGGAAGCAAAAGATGGACAGGAGACAGTAACTCAGGGAAGCCTTTTGGCTCTTGAACTAAGACAGTGGGTAACATTTCCACAAAACTATGAGACTGACAAAAACGCTCCTATTGTTAAAAATGTAGAAATGTGATTATTAAACATCCATTTGAAAAATCCGATTAAAGTAATCAGTAATGTAATATTGTGAAGGCATTTAACATTAACCAGAATACACTATATTAAATGGTTAAAAGTTTTAGTTCTAGTGATAGGAGCTTAAATTCTCATTTATAGAAGTCCTGCTATTGTTAATGTTAAATTATTGTAAAAGTAATACATGTTCATTCAAGAAAACTAGTATAACATAGTTCTGGTAGTAGCTAACTTTAGAGTTTATTACATTCTGTCCAGTGTAATCTTATTTATTCCTCATAACAGTAATATGAGGCAAGTATTATTTTTCCTAGTTCGTAGATGAGGAAACTGAGCACAGAGAAATGAAGGGACGTTAACAAGGCCACACAGTATTTGAACCCAGGCAGTCTGGCTGTAGAATCTGTGCCCTTCAGCATTCCTTGTCACCAGGTGGTTAAGAACTTGGGGCTTGGAATAAGAAAGACCTGGACTTAAATCATGGCTACCACTTATACTCTTGGGACAAGAGCGTCTCTCTTGACCTTTCTGAGCCTTAGTAATCTTGTTTATAAAACAAGGGCTATTTAGGGGATAAAATGAGATAATGTATGTTAACTGGTTGGCACATTCTTTAGCAGACACGATGCTTCTTCAATAGATGGTATTATTATTATAACAAATACTGATAAGCAAAATGAAAAAAGTCACGAAAAGAAAACAACCATTGTTAGCATTTTGAGGTGTATCCTCCCAGTCTCTTAAAAATGTGTTCCCTTATGTTGTTATTATATTTTCTGCTTATGTTATTTTTCTCTCTTATAACTTTTCCTTGTTTATATTTTACACAAAAGGCAGGAAGACTTGAATTTGTCTGTGTAACTCAGGAGTAAGGCAAGGCTGTTTCAGCTTCTGAGCTGCCAAAACCTTTTCTCTCTATGTTTAGGAGTAAGTGGAGATGGAAGCGGACATAGAAGTACATATACTTTTTTCTCTCATTTTAAACAAAAATGAGGTTATATGTGAATTAAAGTTTCTGATATAATGTCTGCAAATCAACAAAACGTGGGATAGTAGAAATAGAAAAGAACATGTGCTAGTATTAACTTTATTAAAATAACAATGAAACTCCAGTTTCAGACTATTTAGAGATACTAACTGAAAATAACTGTATCTGAGTGAACAGTCTATTTCTTCTTGATGAGTGAGATTATAGAAGTCTGATCATATATTGCATTGTTAAATAAAATCACTGAATGTGGTATAGCAGGTAACTAAACTAATTCCTCCTTTCTAAAGCCTTAGCAACAAAACATGGCTAATGCTCTTTTTTTCATTTCCTTTTAGGTCTACACACAATGAGCTGGAAAAGAATCGGTGAGTCATTGATGAGGTGCAGTTTTCATTTATGTTTAAAAGCAAACTCAACATCTTACCTGTGAAAATAATGTAATCGTATGTAATCATATATATATATATTATATATTTTTAAATCTTTTTATTGATTTTTAGAGAGAGAGGGAGGGAGAGGGAGAGAGAAGCATTGATGTGAAAGCAGAGCATCGATCAGCTGTCTCCTGCACGTCCCCTACCTGGGATTGAGGCTGCAACCCAGGCATGTGCCCTAACCAGGAATCAAACTGGCAACTTTTTGGTGCCCAGGATGACACCTAATCAACTGAGCCACACCAGCCAGAGCTGTAGTTATATATATATATTTTTAAAAAATGTATAGCATATCATGATTCTGCTATATATGTATTTTCTCCAAAAAATGCCTTAAATAGTAAGCTTACACTATCCAAACTGGAAACACATTTTTTAAGTTTGTTTCAGTTTTGAGTTTATGGTATAGCCTTTGTTTCTGTCTATGAAAACAGGTTTATTGTGATAGGTTCATGGCTTAAATATAGTCTTGCTAAAGTATTAGGTTTCTGTAGTGTAGCTAATACATATTATAAAAAATTGCACAACATTGAATTTCTCTTTCTTTGTAGTTTTGTTCATTTATTCATGCATTCAGCAAATCTTTATCAAGCATGAACTGTATGTCTGTCAGGCAGGCATAATGCTTTACATAGAAAATATAAGAATGCATAAAATAGTTTCGGTCCTTAAGGAACGTATAACCTCCTGGGGGAACAGACAGGTAATTAAAAATCCTATGTAAGTATGGTGAGTATGGTAATGGAGAAGCATGGATGCTGATATATTACTTTGGAGGGTCCACTGATTCTTTTTTGAGGGAGTCTTGGAAGGCTCTACAGTGGATGGTGAGTGAGCATTGTATATCGAAGGAACTTCAAGATTTTCAATATGAGTATGAAAGATTGTTGCCTAAGACAAGCCAGGCCAAAGGTTGACAGCTATGCTGAAGAGTTTGGACTTTTTCTGAGAGCAATAGGGGGCAGTTGGCTGATTTGACGATGGGTTGTCATACAATCCACTTTGTGTTTTGGAAAGATCACTTTGGCTGCAGTTTGAAGAATTGGTTGATTAGAAGAAGGGATCTCAGAGACAAGAACACTCTTTTGGAGGCTATTGGAAGCCTACTTGGTAAGAGATGATAGGGGCCATTGGAGATAGAAGTAGACAGAATAAAGAGATAGGATAGGGTATAAGCAATAGAAATAGGTGATTAGTTTGCTATAGAAGGTTAAGTTTTAGGTGGTATTAGTATTTACTGAGAGAAGGAGTATAGGAAGAGGACAAGTTTGGCAGAGAAGGTGAAGGTTTTACAAATACTCTTTTTTTTGATAGAAATTAGATTAATAACCAACAAACTGGGATTGTCTGCACCAGTCATTTTGTTGTTATTGATAATCCTCACCAAGGATATTTTTCCATTGATTTAAAAAATTTTTTTTAATATATTTTTATTGAGTTCAAAGAGGAAGGGAGAGGAAGAGAGAGAGAGAAATATCAATGATGAGAATCATTGATCGGCTGCTTCCTGCATGCCCCCTACTAGGGGATCGAGCCCGCAACCCAGGCATGTGCCCTGACCGGGAATCGAACTGTGATCTCCTGGTTCATACGTTGATGCTCAACCACTGTACCATGCCATCTGGGCTCCATTGATTTTTAGAGAGTGGAAGGGAGGGGGAGAGACACACAGAGAAACAGTGATGTGAAAGAAACACATTGACTAGTTGCCTCTTGCACAAGTCTCGAGGAGGGCCCTGGGATAGAACCTGCAACTGAGGTTGTGCCCTTGACTGGAATACAGCCCCACCCTTCAGTGTGAGGGCTGATGCTCTAGCCACTGAGCCAAACCAGCTATGGCTGTACCAGCCATTTTTGACAAAAAAGATTTCTGTGACCTTCAACTTTTTGTCCTGCCCCCCCCCTTTTTTTTAATAGAAGGGACCTTACAGATTGACTAGCCTAACTGCCTCATTGCAGATGAATTTAAATGTCAAATTCTCCTGAACAGGCTTAACATAGTCCTCCAGACAGACTTTGGCTTTTACCACTTCGTTTGTGTTATACTTTGTTCATCTCCTACTGTAAAACTTAATCAGGTAGTATCTGTTCATGTCTCTTTCTGCCATATGACTATGATTGCCTCAAAGGCAGGGATTCTGTTTTGTTCAATTTTTGTTTTGTTTTGTTCAATTTTTTATCTTCAGCTCCTAGCATTTGATGCATGTATAGTAGCTGATGGCTTCAATATTGAGTGAAGGATAGAAGTAGAGCAAAGTTTAGTGGTTTAGTAAAGATGTTTGCTGGTTTGTAGCAAAGCAGTTTGGCAGGAAACCTTTCATTTTAAAGAGTCTCTTTTCTGCCTTATATTATGGCTAATTAAAACAGAGCAAGAAGACCAATAAATAACAGCTCTGAGGATTCGACAAATAAAACCTTACATGGAACTTTAAATTAAAGCTCAGAGTATATTTTGGGCCACATGCTTTAAATACTGATAAACATGTGGCTTTTGTAATTATTTCTTTCACCTAAATATGTTGTCCTTGGGTGAGACTCTCATTGGAAACCTGACAAAAAACCTTTTTATTTTTTATTTTTAACATTGGAGTAAAGAGAATCTTCAGTAAACTGTTCAGAATGGAGCTCTTTTAATCTTTGAGTAAACTTTGTTTCATGCATTCTGCATACCAGTTCTGATTTACTGATAACTTTATCACCCATTATATTACTTTGCTATACTCTATAAATTGTTTAATCTAGTGTCTTTCTGTGGCACTGGTGCAACGTGTGTGGCTTTTATTGCCTGGACCGTACACAATCTCCAGTATCTCCAGTGAAGGCTTTTTGTTCTCCTTTTATGTACTTAAGTCTAAGGCTTTCTGGTTGGTTTCCTACCCTACCTCACTTAAGGCATGGTTCCCCCATCCTCTTCTGTCCTATCCTGATAGTCCTAGATAGCCTTTGTTTCTCAAATTATTTCTTCCCCTGTCTCTCTTCTTCCCTTCTTTCCTTTGTCCGTTCATCCCTCCCTCTCTTCCTTGAGGCTTAGTTGAAAGGTAATATAAAATTCACCTTTCCCAGATGAATTTGTTTTTAAATGAGGTATTTATCAACATAAATAAATCTTATTTAGTGGAATATGTCAGAGAGTGAGTGCCAAAGGAAGAGTCCAGTTCAATAACCTCTACTTCACTTCTGAAAAGTTACAAATTTGGCTTGTGATCCAGCAAAAAAACCCCAGACATGTTGGTAGATATGGGATGATTTAAGGGAGGGGGGTGTTTTAGCCAAATTTGCAAGAAGCCAGATATAAAAAATATTTTAAAAATTTAAGCCTGTATTGTTATTACATTTTATAGTTTTTATCTAGTTCTATTTAATGGTTCTCTTTTTTCCCCCCAAGACACCATTTTTTATTTGACATTTTAAATTTTAAAAAAGTTAATCTAGCTTTGGCATCCTTTAAAATAAATAGAATTTTGGCTTTACCTTTCATTTGCTTTTGAGTGTGAGCCCATATGAGGAAAGGAATTCACTATGAAAAGGGCAATTTGATGTTTGTCTTCATTCTGAAAATATATTTCTGAAGTAATTCATAGTTTTGAAATGTTGCCACTTTATATACATATTGATGTTAGAAGTTTTTTCTTTTCTTTTCTTTTTTTTTAGCTTGGGGGCCACATCTTGCACATAAAGCTACTTTTAGTTCGTGTTTCCTACTGGGGCAATGCAGTGAGAATTAGAGTAGATGGCTGTAAACTGTTAGTGAACTTAAAGCCCCAAGACCGTTGAAGCCCTGGATCTGTCCTCGAGGAGACAAAAGCCAACAAATGTTGAGGTTCATATTCCCAGATCTCAGAAAGAAGCCTAATGGTGCAGATTTGGGTCTGGCTGGCCCAGGGAAGTTTGTTCTGGTCCAAAATTACCCCCAAATGCCTACAGCCGATTAGGGAGCTGTAGATAGTCCCAGGACTGATAAAGAAATTCAGATCCTTTTTAAGATAGGTCCTGGTGGGCTTATTTCTGCCTAAAACCCTGACAGCTACACCGAGCCTAGTCTAGATGGTTCAGAGCATTTGTTACTTGCATACTCATCCTGTCTCCCTAGACCAGCCGTGGGCAAACTTTTTGACTCGAGGGCCACAATGGGTTCTTAAACTGGACCAGAGGGCCGGAACAAAAGCATGGATGGAGTGTTTGTGTGAACTAATATAAATTCAAAGTAAACATCATTACATAAAAGGGTACGGTCTTTTTTTTTTTTTTTTAGTTTTATTCATTTCAAATGGGCTGGATCCGGCCCACGGGCCGTAGTTTGCCCACAGCTGCCCTAGACCCATAATAGGTCTTAACAGACGAGGTAGAGGTAAAAGGTCAGCAGGGTACCTCTAACTGTTCTGCATTCCCCAAGTACCTGTATGAATCATCTCATGGTAAAATGAACGAATCTTTGAGATTTAAGAGTTAAGAATTTACATTAGCTTACCTTATGTGTTGGGTCCTTTGCCAGAGTAGAAACCGTTACAGATTTTAGATTGCTTCATTGTTTTTTATTTTATTAAATTGAAATTACTGATGATGTTTTTGAAAGAACAACAACTTTAACAGGACTTAAATGGTCAGGACCTTAGTGCTGATGGCAAGAGATGCCATCCAACCTTAATATCTGTCATTACATTGAAACAAAAGGCTCACCTTTATTGCAAAGTTGGCAAAGCTAGAAGGCCCAAAGGAGGATAATGGACTAATAATGCCTTCCTAAGCAGAGCAGAAGTGCCTGAGTATTTTTTATTTTAAAAAAAAGCATGTTGCTGAAACCGGTTTGGCCCAGTGGATAGAGCGTCGGCCTGCGGACTGAAGGGTCCCAGGTTTGATTCCAGTCAAGGGCATGTGCCTGGGTTGCGGGCACATTCCCAGTGGGAGATGTGCGGGAGGCAGCTGATTGATGT